TCGTGATTTCTGCTCTAGACTGAATGTTTGTTTTCCAGATTCATCTGTTGACACCTAATTTCCAGTGTGTTGGTATTTGGAAGGGGAACCTTTATGGTGATTAGGTCATGAGGTTGGAGCCCTCATGAATGGGATTAGTGCCTTTATAAAAGATGCCCCAGGGAGCCCTTTCACCCCTTCCACCATATGAGGACACAGTGACTCACCAAACATCAAATTTGCCATTGCCTTGATGTTGACTTTACCATCCTCTGGAACTAAGAAACAAATTTCTGTTGTTTGTAAGTCATTCAGTCTGAGATATTCTGCTACAGCTGTCAAAACAGATTAAGACAATTTCCTTAGGATCCTTCTCAAAACCCAGAGAATGTTCCTCCTTGTAGTTAGTTTCTTTTCACAGTCCTTAATGCCTCCAAAATGAGAAATGCCCTGTTTATGCCAAGGACAAAAAGGTATAGAGAGGAAAGAAAATAGGAAAGAAAATACATTTTCTTTCAACTCTGAATCTGGGTGAATGCCACTTCAGATGTTACTGTCAAAAGAATTAGGCTATAGGAATTCAATACCAACTGCAGTTGCTTTTCACTCTGCATGTTTGTCAGTCATAGCAAAGGGCCATAAGGATGACTGGGGAAAGTGTGGGAGCCTCTTTGATTCCTGGAGATGCTTTTAATAAATACCAGCTTTCTGCCCCTCAAGTTCTTCCACATCTGTGGGCCCTGGGTCTGCGTGAGTAGTGGAATTGAAGTGGCTATTTTGTGGGTCTTCCCTGGCAGTTCCGTTGTTAAGACACCATGTTTCCACTGCAGGGAGCATGGATTCCATCCTTAGTTGGGAAACTAAGGTCCTGCATACCGTGCCGGGTGGCCAGAAAAATAGGAGGGAAAAAGTGATTATTCTGTAATGCTTAAGCACAATCCTTCATTGCTTTCCTTGACATCCAGGAAGCCAACCCTTGCCAGCATAGAGGTCTGTATCTGTAGGGATTCCACCTTTGCAGAGAAAAGCCTTGTTCAATGTTACCTGGAAAGCAGACAAGACTGGTAACTTGGAAACATATTTACATGAGAGAAGATCTCTACAGAAAACTGAAACTTGGACACGATTTCTAAAATGCCACATAGGGAAAAGAGTACTATTTATTAATACAAAGTTTTCCCCAGGGGAAGCCTTTGGAGGTTTTGTTTACAAAACAAAAAACATCCTGGTAGGGAGTTTTTTGTTTGTTTCTAGTTCAACCCATGGGAATGAAACCATTGTCCCTCACATTTCAGTTATGTGATATTTTTGACAGTTTGTAGCTTTTTAAAGAATTCACAAGTTTTTCTTCATGCTGGGAGTTTCTTAAGTCTAGAAAAAACTACAGAAGCTGTTGACGTCTTGAATGGCATAAACTACTTGAAATGAGGTCAGTGTATTTGCAGAGGACAGTCTGCAAAATGTTCGAGAAGTGACTACATTCTGGAAAGTACAATTTATTGATTATGTTGTATTTAGATCCATTTGTTAAAAAATGATCAGTAAGGTCCTGAAATGGCAAGAGTATAAATCTCTTTTATAGTCTGCCTCCTGTTGAAGCAAGGTGGAATCAGTTCTAAGCTAATAATTTGAGCATTTAGACAGGTTCATTTCTACATGTGAGAGAATGAGTTTTCTGTTGGTCAGATTCTTGTTTGATATCTTGGCACCAGCCCTGTGGGCCAGACATAATTCAGGTGCTCTGCCTTTAGGGACACTGGAAAGATTAGAGAATCACATTTTTCATTTTGAGGCTTATGGAGAATATGTCCCTTTGTCGTTTGTGAGAGGGCTTGTTCATCTGTTGAAAGTCTCCTTGTTGTCATCAGAAAACAGTTAGTGACCACTTTATGTGCAAAGTGTATTAACTGGAGACTTGGGGATTTTGATGCAACTATTTCTGTCCTTTCATTTATGATGGTTTTGATTACAAGTGAGAGAGTACCTTAATACGACTGGCTTAAAGAATAAAGGGAAACTTATTTTTGTTACATAACAGGGTATCCAATACTTCAGTGACAGTTTCAGGAGCCCTGATTTCTTCTTCCTGGTCTGTGTGCTCAGCGTTTTGGCCTTGTCCTAGGCAGGGATGTTTGAGAGTTATGGGGTAGCTGCAGTAGTCTCAGATGTCACATCCAGATGTCGGAATAATAACCTGAGGAAGAGGAGGTGCCCTTCTCGCGTGTGAAGAGCAGGATAAGTTCCCAGAAAACCTCTGGCCAACTTCCCCTCATCTCATTGGGAAATAGAGTCACATGCTTTTTCCTAAGTCAATTCATAAGAAATGAAGTAATGTTCAGGATTCTCGCTGAGCTTGAGTGGAGTTTCACGTTCCCTTGAGGTTTGGCTCAAGGAATAACATGAACAACACGTGAACAGTGTTGTTCAATGTACGTGAACAACATTGGGACTCTTAGGAAAGGAGTAGTGGAGATAGGCGCCGTCATCCATAGCTCTTAGCCCACAGGTTTTTCAGTGGGCCTTGGTGGACCCCAGACGTCAAGAACAACCTCTGGTTGTTGATCAAAAAGAGAGCTTTTGCTAGAACTTTCAGAACTGCGCAGTAGGCGAGGCAAGCCCAAGCCCTTCACCTCCATCAGCATATCCCACAGAGTTGGCAGCGGGCATGTCTTCATGAGGAGAATTGAAGTTTCTTACTTGTAAGTCATTACAAGGCTCTATGCCTTGTAGACCAGTGGGTACGTCCACTTTTTCAGGTTCCCAGTTTATTTAAAAAGAAATGCCAAAACAGAGCTATAGAAACATGGTATATTTTACATGTTTACTTCCAAGAAAGTATTTCAGACCCAGAAACAGTACTGTGACTTTATGTAGACATCCTGTGGAAACAGAACATCAGAAGTCCAGATGTGACTGGAGATCGGACAGAATTCTGCCTTTCGGTCCTGTGGAGGCTGCAGAGGATCCCAGAAAAGAGTCCAGGGAATGGCCCTAATGCCTCACTCCTCTGGGGCACTTGGCACTGTTGACCCCCTCTTCTAAAACACATACCCACTGACACAGGCTGGACAGCATAGCACCTTTTCGGTGTCCCGTCTGTGATCAGGCCATCCCAGGGTGAAGGGGAGGAGGCAGGGCAGGAAGCACTTGACATTGCTCCGTAAAGTCGCCTGCCGCCGGGAGCACCTCCAGGAACCCGGGGGAAAGCCTTCTGCAGTAGATTCGTGTGCTAAGCATTGCCACTGTCCTTTCATATTTTATTTTCTTATAGTTGCGCTTTTATTCACTGTGGTCCTCTTCCTCGGATTATTTAATTCATTTTAACAAGCTTTTCCTTTTTTTTGGTGAGCACTGCTCTATGTCAGGAACTGCTTCGAACCTGAGATGGAGTTAAGAGAGAATGGTTTGGTGGTGGTGACAGATGACAAAATAGATGACAGGACAGTGAATGTATTGCTCCTGTAGACTTGGCACAGGATGCCACAGGAGACGCAGAGGTGTGCATCACACTCTTGTTTGAAGAGAATGGAGTTGGAGCCATATCCTGAAGGAGAACTTAAAGTGAATAAACGGATGCTGATCCGTCTGGGGGAGTGGGAATGGTGTTGATAGCACAGTTTCCTGGGCAGCTTTGGAGTAAAGAAAATTTTGCATTTTGCAATAGTGTTACTATATAGCTGATTTTGCTTCCCTGGTAGCTCAGATGGTAAAGAATTCATCTCTAGTACCGGAGACCTGGCTTCCATCCCTGGGTTGGGAAGATCCCCTGGAGGAGGGCATGGCAGCCCACCCTAGTATCCTGCTGGCAGAATCCCCGTGGACAGAGGAGCCTGGCGGGCTACAGTCCATGGGGTCGCAAAGAGTCAGGTATGACTAGCGACTAAGCACAGCACAGCATAGCTCATTTTGCCCATAATTAGGAGGTTCAGAAAAAATAATAGTTTATCTCTTACAGGTAAAGCCTTATTACTTCTCTATAAATATTTTTCTTTTAGTCTTGATCTTTCAGATGTTGTCTTGCCTGCTATGTTCCTTTTTTAAGTTTTAAAAATTTAATTGAAGTGTAATTGATTTATAGTACCATGTTAATTTCTTTCGTACAGCCAAGTGACTCAGTTATACGTGTTCTTTTTCATTTTCTTTCCCATTATGGTTTATCACAGGGTATTGAATATAGTTCCCTTACAACAGTAAGACAGTGTTTATCCATCCTGTATATGATAGTTTGCCTCTGTTGATCCCAAACTCGCTATCCTTCGCTCTCCCACCTGCCTACCTGCTACATTCCTAATTTAAAAGATATATTCATTATTAAGTGTCACACTATAGAAACTTTCTTGAGAGAAAACTTATATTAACTGAGGCTATTTAAGTACAAAGAGCTTTTCCGTGTCCCGCTGTTTGTGTAGAATCAAACAGGAACAGAAGCTCTGTGGTGCTTAGCATGGTCATAAGTTCATGGCTGTAGATTTAAAGTAGAAGAAATATGAAGTCTGAATACCTTTGGGGAAAACAAAACCTTTTTATGCTTCTACAACTCAGGAGGGAATGGCTTTCCCTGCCAAGTCCTTGACACCTTAAGCAGAAAAGTTGGGAATCTCATGTGACCTGATTTTGGAGGCAAAACCCTTTCCTCGAGTCAGGGAGAGACCCTTACCAGTACTGGATGTTGTGAGAAATCCAGACAGAATGCTACAAGAGATGGGTGGAGGTGACCGACATTGCATCATTCAACAGAAATCAGCCCAGCTCACTCCCGGGGATCTGACAGTGTTGTCATTCTGGGGAACACGTAGTGGGGAGCAAGACACAGCCACTGTTCTTCCTCAGGAGTGGATGTTCTGTGAACTCCCGAGAAACCGTAGCTTGCCGGGTGTTCTGATGCCCTCTTTTCCGCTCTTCCCTCTGTTAGGAGAGAAGCAGCTGAGCAGACGCTGACCATCGGCTTCCAGCCCGCCAGGACCTGTCGTGGCTCATGTGCTACATCCTCTGCCCTCAGTGTGCAGCTGGCCCGCAACGCGATGTGTGTTTGTCAAACCATGGAGGTGGGGCAGTATGGCAAGAATGCAGGTCGGGCCGGAGACCGGGGAGTCCTCCTGGAGCCCTTCATCCACCAGGTGGGCGGCCACAGCAGCATGATGCGCTACGACGACCACACTGTGTGCAAGCCCCTCATCTCCCGGGAGCAGCGCTTCTACGAGTCCCTCCCTCCCGAGATGAAGGAGTTCACCCCTGAGTACAAAGGTCAGTCACTGGCCAGTGTGGAGAGAGCAGCAGCGTGGAGGCCCTCAGCCCCGTGTCCTTGTTCTGTCGGCCACGTGATACGATTGAGGGTCTCTGTTGTCTCCTTGCAGCGAAGTCACTTTGATAAGCCAAATTTGAAAGCATCAGTGAGGTCTTTATTTTTTGAAAACTGAGTCCATTGGTAGGTAAACCAGAGAAGAATAATTCACAGCATTAAGGCCGTTGGCGAAGAGCATGCTGTTGTTTAGGAGGTTTCCCTGTTGGCTGGGATGGTCTAGGAGAGAAGGGGCAGCCCTTCTCTGCTCCCAGAGAAGGAATTGGATGCTCTCCAGGCTCAGGGGATGAGGTAGCTGGTGAGGGGGTGCTGTGGAGCTTGTGTCTGTATGTGCTGGGGGAGAATGGATGGTAAGAATTTTAGAGAAGGACTGGGGCCCGGAGGTCCTAACTTTTAAAGGAAAAATAATTTGCTTTATAATGTAACTTGATAGACTAGAACCCTATGAATGTATACCAGAATTCAAAGTCACTTTGTTTTAAAATCTGATTTTTGTCACTGTGTGTATACATTTTTATGACTGACCCTCATGTATAAGTTGGGGCTTCCCAGTGGCACTAGTGGTAAAGAAACTGCCTGCCAACGCAGGAGACATAAGAGATGTGGGTTCAATCCCTAGGTTGGGAAGATCCCCTGCAGGAGGGCACGGCAACCTGCTCCAGTATTCTTGCCTGGAGAATCCCATGGACAGAGGAGCTTGGCGGGCTATGGTCCTTAGGGTCGTGGAGAGTCAGACATGACTGAAGCAACATAGTATGCATCCATGCACGTATAAATTATGGTTTTTGTGTTTTTTTTATTTTGGCTGTGCTGCATGGTTTGTGGGATCTTAGTTCCCTGACTAGGGATTGAATCCAGGCTGCTCAAGTGGAAGCACTGAGTCCTAACCACTGGACTACTGGGAAATTCCCTGTGTTCTATCTTTTTACCTTTTCCAAATCAGTGTGAATTCAGACATGTTTGTACTACGCTTTACTTGGGAGATCCTCGATTTAGAAAAACCAGTCCATATTGGTATTGGCTTTTGTTTGCTTAATTCTTTTATTGTGGTGAAATATACATAACATAAAATTTAACCATTTTATAAGGTGGATGCAGCTTTTTAAAAAATAAAGTATAATTGATGTATAATGTGTTGTTATACAGCAAAATTTACCATTTTTAAGTGTTTAATTTAGTGGCGTTAAATACATTCACTATGCTGAGTACCATTACCATTATCTATTTCTGGAACTTTTACATCACCTCAAACAAAATCTCTGTACCCATTAAATAACTCATTTCCCCCCTCACCTGGTACTCTCTAATCTACTTTATCTATCTATAAATTTGCCCATTTTACATATTTCATACAAGTGGAATCATGTAATGTTCGTCCTTTTGGATTTGGCTTATTTCATTTAGCATAATGTTTTCAAGGTTCATCATGTGTCAGAACTTCATTTGTTTTTACGGCTGAATACTATTCCATTGTAAATATATGCCGTATTTTATTTATCTGTTCATCTGACGGACACCTGAGTTGTTTACACCTTTTGGCTATTAAGAATAATGCTTCCATGAGTATTACCTTACAAATGCCTGCTTGAGTCCCTGATTTCAATTCTTTTGGGTATATACCTAGGAGTGGAATTGCTGGATCATATGGTAATTTTGTGTTTAGTGTTTTTGAGGAACTGTCAGACTGGTTTCCATATTAGCCTACCATTTGACATTCTTACCAGCAGTGTTTCTTTTTCTCCATATCCTTACAAACCCTTATTTTCCATGAAAAACAGTAGCAACAATTGTGTAGCCAGCCTAGCGGGTGTGAAGTGGTGTCCTACTGTTGTGATACGTGTTTTCTTAAGGACTAATGAATGATGTTGGTGTATCTTCTCTGGAGCAGTGTCTATTCAATCCTTTGTGCAGTTTTGAATCGGACTGTTTGTTACTGTTTTCAGAACAGAATCAGAAGCATATTGAATTTGGAGGAATAAATACTCTTAATGCTGCAAAACGAGAGAGAAGTGAGAATCAAACACACTGCTGTCTCTAAGTGGCTAAGAAACAAGTTATGAATGCTTTATAAATGTAGCTTCAGCTGCCCACCCATCTACACTCAACACATCATGGCCAAATCTTTTGCTATAAAAATGCCAAAACCAGAAAAAAAAAAAAACTACAAGCCTTGTTAGCTCATGGAGTCCTCTTCTGATGCTAAGGGAAGAAAAAAAAAAATCCTTTAAAATGAAGCAGAACCCCAGGCTCCAGAGAAATGTTTACTAAATCACAACCACCAGAATTTGGACTAGTTAGAATCTCAAGGTGCCACCCAGGGAAGGATTGTCAGTCATATATTGGTTCAGTTTTCCTAACAACCTACTCTCAGATTGGGGAACAGAAGTCTTTAAAACCATAGCAAGTCTTTAGTATCTACTTGATTTTCTTTCCTCAGGCTGCATTTTCACTAGGGAAGAGTAAATACACTTTCTCAAAAATACAATTAAATCGAAACTGACCTCTTCTTTTTTTTAAGTCAAATGAAGTCCCAAGAAAATGGAAGGTATGATGGGTTCGATTCACGAATTTCAAAGACATACCATAGGGTTTTTACGTTTTTCTTGGCTGCTCTGAGGGCATGGAGGAGCTTAGTTCTCTGACCAGGGATCAAACCCATGTCTCCTTCAGTGGAAGCACAGAGTCTTAACCACTAGACCACCAGAGAAGTCCTTTACTTTTTATTTTGAAATGTAAAATTACAGAAAAGTTGCGAAAATAATAGAGGTCCTCTAATGCTCCCATGATGCCAGTGTGCCGAGTGAAGCCTGTCTCTGTGCAGCTGACCTCTCCCTGGACATGCCTGTACTGGCTTTCCTGCATGCATGGCAAGACCATCAGCCCCAGGCGAGATTCAGGAAGCGTCTTCAACCTCTTGAGTTCTGCCAGGATGATGGTTTATTTTTACTTTTCCCACCAAGATGATATTTGAAAATATCTGTGTGAATGGAAAGCTGCAGTTGATGGTTCTCTCCAAGATGATTCAGATGCCAGAATTGGATTTGGATGTAATCAGCATAATCCAAGCTGATGAACCCACTGCTTCAGCTTCCAGCACAGTGGGCTGAAATTCAGTGTTTGGAAGGGATTACAGGGCACTGAAAGACGTCTTGATCAACACAAACTCAGCCTCGACTCTCCTCCCTTCCCTTCCTCATCCCTCCCCTTCCCTCCCTTCCCCTCTCCTGCTTGTGTTATACTGGCTTCTCCATGACCACTATAGGGTCCTCTCTACCTTTCACACATACTCAATGAGAGCATGCCAGAAAATCGTCTTGAGTGCTTTGGTGAGCAGATGAAAAAACAGCCCTGTTGTGAATCAGCTGGGTCTTACTCTAATTCCAGAGAATGTGCTAAAGACTCAAATGAAGTTCCGTGTCCCAGTGATGTATCCCATTGAAGGAGAAGGGAAGATAGACAATTTTTTATTTTCTCTGTTTGACCAGAAGCATAATGCTATAGATGTAACCCTTATTGGTAGCTGGGTAGAAAGAGCTATTTTTCAGCTAGAAGAGGGAAGCCCCTGAGTTCTGCTCCATGAATTCAGCTTTCGGAAAGAGCCCCTGGCTTGTTGGGCGTGAACTGACTGTGGCAGAAATTGTGCTGTGGTCTGTGCTCCAGCAGACGGGAGGCTCTGCAGTGTGATGGTGCAGCCAGTGTGAGAAAGTGGGTGAGGGCCTGTGAAAACCTGGCACTTCTAAACACTGCCCTTAAGTTCCTGAAGTGAATTTCAGTACCTGATTTTAAAGGGTTTAGATTTTAAGAATGCTGCTATTTCATACCTATTGGATACTAAAATCAAAGGCGATTGGATACTAAATAAATTTAGGTTGGTTGTCTAGTATTAATAAACAAAAGCATCATTAAAAGATACATAACCATATCATGGTTTATAATTACCAAAGCCAGAAAAGGAGCTTTGGTGTAATACTATTAGCTGACCTGTACACTTTATTCAAATTTTGGCTGTTTTCTCACTTATGTCATTTTTCAGGTCCAGGATTTCACATTGTTTTTAGTCCTCCTTGGCCTCCTCCAGTCTGGGACAGTTTCTCACTCTTTCTTTGTCTTTCATGACCTTGATGCTTTTGAAGAGTACTAGTAGTTATTTTATAGATTGTCCCTAAATTTGGATTTGTTTTCTCTTTCCTAATGATTAGATTGAGGTTATATATCTTGGGCAGTAGAAATGATCCAGTATCCTCTTCAGTTCCTCATGTCAGGAGGTCCATCTCTTGTTACTGGTGATTTAACTTTGATTGCTTTGTTAAGATGGTGTCTGCCTGGCTTTTGCACTGTAAAATTATGACTTTTCTTGTTGTAATTAATGAGTTTCATGTGGAGAGATACCTTGGGACTCTCTGGATATCCTGCTTCATAGCATACTAGTTTTCCAATTGATCAATGGTTCTTTCCTGTGATAATTACTAACTTGCAGAGTGAGGGACAGGGAGGCCTGGCATGCTGCATTCCATGGGGTAGCAAAGAGTCAGACATGACTTAGCGACTGAACAACAACAAAATTGCATGCCTAATGATGACATATCTTTTCATCATTTCTTCTATACTTAGTAGTTAAAATAAATTACACTTCTATAAGGAAGAATTGTCCCTCCTCACCCATTTATCTGTCAGTGTGGACGTATGTGTTTTATTTCTCAAGTTATTCTAGATTTGATCACTGGGACTCTTAACATTAGCTCTTGTATACTTTTGACATATACCCCTCATCATTTTTAGCTATTTCATTACTTTCAGTTACCAAGAGATATTCCAGGCTCATCTTGTATTTTTCTGCCCTGATTCAGGTGCCATATTTTGCAACAGGCTTTTCTTCCTTGTATCGTAGGAATGATAGAAAAAACAAGATCTTGGTGCTGGATGTTCTGATTGCCACTGGAGTGGCTTTGCTTTTAGGCCCTTTCAACACAGAGGTTTAGAAAATGCATATATTAATTCTAACGCACAATCACATACACATTTCTTTATTGCCAGAACCACAGGTGTTTTTAAAACTCAGCTAAGGAAAAATGCCAATAATAATAATATATATATTTTTAATATTCTATATTTTGGCAGTAGGTTTGAAGAGGGATTTCCGTTTATTTAATATGACCAGCTGTAGTCATCAAGTGTTACTGCTTGCAGTGCTAAATGCCTTGTATCGTATTTCAAAACCTTGCCTCATTCATTTATCAAGTATTTATTGAGCATCTACTGGATGCCAGGCCCTGTGCTCATTAGTGTAGAAGACGAAAAAGACCCATATCTTCATGGGCTTACATGCTAATATGAGAAAGAATAAACAAATTATAGACAAAACAATTACAGATTGTGTTAAGTACTTTGAGTAAAATAAGTAAGGTTCTGTAATTGACAGTAATAAAGCTTCCAAACCAGAGCCCTTGATACAGGATGATTGGGGAAGGAGTGTCTGGGGAGACTTAAAGGACTGGAGGATGAGGAGCAACTGTGGACAAAGGACAATGGAAAGAACATTGCAAGCTTCCAAGGATAAGCAGAAACCCTCAGGTAAAAAACAACAATGGACAGAACTTCAGTGCTCTAAGAAACTACTCTAGCTCTTTTTTGCCAATTAAAAGTTAAGAAGCAAGCCTATTCATAAGTGGTCAAGGGACTTGAGTAAACATTTCTCCAGAGAAGACACACAGATGACCAACAAACACAGGGAAAGACTATCAACATCACTAGTCATTACAGTTACAGTTCAGTCGCTCAGTCGTGTCCAACTCTTTGCAACCCCATGAATCGCAGCACGCCAGGCCTCCCTGTCCATGACAAACTCCCAGAGTTTACTCAGACTCATGTCCATTGAGTAGGTGATGCCATCCAGCCATCTCATCCTCTGTCGTCCCCTTCTCCTCCTGCCCCCAATTCCTGCCAGCATCAGTGTCTTTTCCAATGAGTCAGCTCTTGGCATGAGGTAGCCAAAGTATTGGAGTTTCAGCTTCAGCATCAGTCCTTCCAATGAGCACCTAGGACTGATCTCCTTTAGGATGGACTGGTTGGATCTCCTTGCAGTCCAAGGGACTCTCAAGAGTCTTCTCCACCACAGTTCAAAAGCATCAATTTTTCGGCACTCAGCTTTCTTCACTGTCCAACTCTCACATCCATACACGACCACTGGAAAAACCATAGCCTTGACCAGACGGACCTTTGTTGGCAAAGTAATGTCTCTGCTTTTTAATATGCTATCTAGGTTGGTCCTAACTTTCCTTCCAAGGAGTTAGCGTCTTTTAATTTCATGGCTGCAGTCACCATCTGCAGTGATTTTGGAGCCCAAAAAAATAAAGTCTGACACTGTTTCTACTGTCTCCCCATCTATTTCCCATGAGGTGATGGGACCAGATGCCATGATCTTAGTTTGCTGAATGTTAAGCTTTAAGCCAACTTTTTCACTCTCCTCTTTCACTTTCATCAAGAGGCTTTTTAGTTCCTCTTCACTTTCTGCTATAGGGTGGTGTCACTAGTCATTAGGGAAATGCAAATCAAAGCCACAATAGAGACTTCTGTCACCCAGTGAATGGCTGTTAAAAGGAAGAAGAGAAGTGTGGCCAAGATAAGGAGAAATAGGAACACTGCTGGGAAGAATGTCAAATAGAATAGCCACTGTAGAAAACAGTTTGACAGTCAGTTCTTCAAAAACATTAAAACACAGAAATTTCCAGCAATTCCATGCCTAGATATATGCCCAAAAGAATTGAAAACAGGGACTCAAACAGATATATGTAAAGTAATACTCACTGAAGCATTATTCATAATAGTCAAAATGTGGAAGCAACCCAAGCATCCATCAACAGATGAACTGGTAAACAAAATACATTTACATAATGGATAGATGGCATACATTTACAGTGGAATAGTATTCAGCCATAAAAACAAATGAAGTTCTGACACATACTACAAGGTGGATGAACATTGAAAACGTTATGCTAAGTGAAAGAAAGAAGCCAAACCCAAAAGGATAAACATTACATGATTTCCACAGTGATTCAGTATACATATATGTCCATTCTTTTAAAAATTGTTTTCCATTATGGTTTGTCACAGGATATTGAATACAGTCCTGTGTTATAGAGTCGGACCTTGTTGTTTATTCTCTATATATAATACTTTGCATCTGCACATCCCAAATTCTCAGTCCATTCTTGCCCCACCCCCCACCCCCACAAGTCTCTTCTCTGTATGTGAGTTTGTTTCTGTTCTGTAGGATAGATAAGTTCATTTGTGTCATATTTTAGATTCCACATATAAGTGATACCATATGGTATTTGTCTTTGTGTTCCTTACTTCACTCAGTATGATAATCTCTAGGTCCATCCACGTTGCTGCAAATAGCATTAGTTCATTCTTTTTTATGGCTGAGTGGTATTCTGTTGTATATACATACCACATCTTTATCCATTAATCTTTCGATGGCCATTTAGATTGTTTTCATGTCTTGGCTGTCGTGAACAGTGTTCTTATGAACTTAGGAGTGCATGTATCTTTTCAAATTATTGTTTTGTCCAGATACATGCCCAGGAGTGGGATTGCTGTTATCATACGGCAACTCTAGGTTTTAAGGAACCTCCATGCTGTTCTTCATAGTGGCTGTACCAATTTACATTTCCAGCAACAGTGTGGAAGGGTTCCTTTTCCTCCACACCCTCTCCAGCATATATGATTTGTAGATTTTTTTCATGATTGGCCATGAATCATGTGTGAGGTAGTATCTCCTTGTAATTTTGATTTGCATTTCTCTAATAATTAGCCATGTGAGCATCTTTTCATATATCTGTTGACCATCTGTTTCAAGTATCTGTTCTTTATACAACAACAATAACAAAACTCTCAGCAAACTAGGGATGGAAGGAAAGTTCCTCAAACCTGATAGAAGGGCATCTATGAAAAACCTACAGATAGCTTCATACTCAGCGATGAGACAATCGCTTTAGCCCCTAAGATGGAGGAATGAGATAAGAATGTCCGTGTTCTCCATTTCTAGTTGACATTTAACTTGGGAGGTTCTGGCCAGTGCAGGTAAGCAGGAAAATAATAAAAGGCATTCAGATTGGGAAGGAAGAAGTAAAGCTGTCTTTATTTGCAGACAGTATAGAATTCTGTCTTCAGCTAAACTGTTCATCACTTGTTGGAGTAGAATTCCCACAAAGAACTAAAAATTGACATCCTGAACCCTCTTTTGTTAGGAAGTTACTTGAAGATGTATTCCACTCAGATTAGGGGGAAGTCAAGAAAAGGGGGAAAGGAGAGGATCGTAGAAGGAACAGCTTTCTCTCTGGTCAGCTCCAGCATGGGAGCCCCGTGGCAGGCCTGGAGGACACTCCACATCAGAGCACAAGGGGGAGCCCAGGAAACAAAGAATGTTGTAGACCAGGGGGCATTCAGGCTTGAACAGAATTGAAGCTCTGGAAAAGGTAAAGGGAAGAAGTTATGAAGGCGGAAACCTGTAGGAGGGGCACGTTATCTACCTAAGGAAGCCAGGTTTTGGTTGTGAAGCCCGCTGAAGTGAGGTGTGCATTTAAGCAATGTAAGAAAAGAAGAATCCATTACATGTTGATGTTTCAAGGGTTTTTTTTCCTCCTAAAAGAGACCAGGGTTTAAGAGCAGTGTCCTCCTGGAGAAGGAAATGGGCCAAAGAAAAGGATGTCCCTGGTCTGGCATACTGACATATTCTTAAAGGCTTGTCACCGATTCTCAGATCATAATGCCGATTTTGCACACCGGGAGTGTAAAATGAGACATGTAACTGATAGTAGGTTGGATTATGGAAATCAGATGAAGGGCAGCCTGGACTTTTTTAACAACCAAAGAAACTCATTGAGTTAGATTTCTAGGTGCTGTGTTTCAGCTCCTTTGGTAATGATCCAGAAGAAACCAAGGACAAGCTGTTTGATAAAAATGAACACAATGAACTTGCATGAGTACTGAGTGGAAAATAGCTGTTTCCACTTAGGAATGCTGGTGCTTTGCTGAGGCCGAAGTTCTGCCTGATGAGGCTGGACTAGCCTGATCCGCAGTGCAGAGACATATTTTGGGGGCCGTCTTGGAGAAGTCTTGATGTCTGTCTTGGTGACACTGTCAGGAAGAAGGAAACCAGATCTCGCGGAGAACAGAGGAGATGAGAGCAGCATAGGGCAGTTGAGTAAGTGAGGTTACATTATGCTGGGTGTGGCTGTGTCACCTGGAAGATACAGTTCTTCTGAATGGTACGAAAGGCAATAGTTGAAAGCAAAAGCGTTAGATAAGAGGATGGGAAATAAATACAAATGTATCCAAAATCAAAGGGGAATGGTGGATTAAGGATGGGAATGAGTGGTGAGGTATGTTCTGGAAAAGATGCCTGCCACTCATCGTTCCTACAGCGGCTTCAGGGCAGGTGAGGACTGTGTGGAGGGCCAGCAAAGGCCAGCAGTCTGTGCTGAATGGACCCCGCCTGGGTGGACATTTGTTGACTGGCTGCTGCTTTTTCCCCAACAGGAGTGGTATCCGTCTGTTTCGAGGGGGACAGTGACGGTTACATCAACTTGGTGGCCTACCCGTACGTGGAAAGTGAGACCGTGGAGCCGGATGACGCGCCGGAGCGGGAGCAGCCTCGGCGCAAGCACTCGCGCCGGAGCCTGCACCGGTCAGGCAGTGGCAGTGACCACAAGGAGGAGAAGGCCAGCCTGCCCCTCGAAACCTCAGAGAGGTAAGGGGCTGGTGAGCGGGGCTGGCGATGCATGTCTGGTGCTGTGAGCACAGACACTCAGAGTATCTCTAGCATCCTGATGCACCACGGGGAAGCAGGGCTCAAGGTGGAGGGACGATGGCTTATGTTCGCAGGTTCACCCACATCATGCCACCTGCCGCCTGTGTGTTCCATCGCCCCGGTGAGGCCCACTTCTGAGTTTGGCTGTAGCTGGTCGAGAGAGAATGGAGTTCTCTCAGCTTTTTGAAGCAAGAATACGCTGTTGTTTTCTTCCAGCTTTGTTAATACCTCACATTCCCAAGGCAGAGGTGGGGATGCACTGGCCCACGGTGAGGTCCCAGCTGCTTTCTCCCCTGCAGGATCGCAGAGCCCAGAGGCAGTGAGTGCAGCCAGGCCCATGCTCTTTAAGGGTTTTGGAGTCAGATCTCTGAGACTCTTGATATCACCTGTTAACCCTTGCCCTGCGTCTAAAATTCAGCTTATTGAATTGGAAATTGAATTTTCTTGTAGATCAGGAAAAAGAATTATTTTTCTCAATACCTCATGCAAAAAATGTACACCCCCACAAGCGTGGCCATAGTTAAAAGGATAGACAGTGAAAGTTTTGTTGAGGTTATGGAGAAACTGGAACCCTCCCATGTTGCTGATGGGAATGTAAAATAGTGCTGCCATTCTGGAAGACAATTAGGCAGTTTTTCAAAAAGTTAAACCCAGCAACTGCACTCCTAGGTATATGCCCAAGAGAACTGAAGGAAAATAGTCATGTGTAAGATGTGTATGCAAATATTTATAGCAGCATTATTCCTAATAGCCCCAAATTGGAAACAACCTGAATGTCTTATCAGTTGATGAATGGATAAATTAAATGTTGTATAGGATATCACTCAGCAGTGAATAGAAATGGAATACTGACACATGCTACAGTATGAATGAACCTTGAAAACATACATTAAGTGGAAGAAGCCAGTCACAGAAAACCACATATTGTATGGTTCCATTTATTTAAAATGTTCAGAATCAGTAAATCTGTATCTTTTCTGTCCAAGAGACAGACAGTAGGTCAGTGGATGCCAGGGATTGAGGGGGCAGTGTTGATGAGAAGTCGCTATTACTAATGGTGACAAGATTTGTTTTGGGGGTGATGAAAATTTCTAAAAATTAGATAGTGGTGATGTTTTCTAACCTTGTGACTATACTTAAAAAAAAACTGCCGAATTGTAAAAATAAATAAATAAAACTAATGTAAACAAAAAATAATGTGAGCTTTTTGAACCAGAGTGAAATCAAAATTATATGATTAAATTACTTTGTACATATTTAATCTCACTCAAAAATAAGTTTCAGTGAGGGAATCCATGGCAGTCCAGTGATTATGACTTGGCACCTTCATTGCCAAGGGCCTGAGTTTGAGCCCAGGGAAATGAATATCCTGCAGGCTGTGCAGCATGGCCAAAAAAAAAAAAAAAAATCAGTAACTATATTGCTCTGTGATTTGACTTAGAATTAGGGCTTTTCTTAGATGTGGCAACACACAGTTTCTCTCTGACATCAGATCAGACCAGTTTAGCAGCGCTGGCTGCACACTCTTGCTCCTTACTACTTACACCGTTTACTCACTTTAAGGGGCTCATGCCTCTGGGGCCATGTGTCACCCATCAGAAAGATCTGTTAGATTGCACATTAGACTTGATCCAGACCTCCCCAACCCTATGTAGTGAGACCCCAGAGGATGACACGTCTGAACCCCTTAGCAACGTGTATGTTCTTCCTTCTTAGCCCCCAGGAGGCAAAGAGTCCGAAGGTGGAGCTACACAGCCACTCGGACGTCCCTTTCCAGATGCTAGATGGCAACAGCGGTCTGAGTTCTGAGAAGATCAGCCACAACCCTTGGAGCCTGCGCTGTCACAAGCAGCAGCTGAGTCGCATGCGCTCTGAGTCCAAGGACCGAAAACTCTACAGTATCCTTGTTACGGCTCCTCCAGCAGCGCCTGCTACTTGGGACCACAGCTCCTATGTCAGGGCGCCTCCCAGTACCATGGTCAGCACCCTTTCTGTTCAGGGGCTCGTCTTTTGTTCTTACCTCCCTTTACCATGGGCTCTTCATGTTTTCATCATTTTTTTTTTGTTTCCCTGCCTTTTGGGCCTGGTAAGACTGAAGCTTAAACTTGGCAATCTAGAAAAGTGCTCTCCAATAGAACTCTGTGACAGTGGAAGAATCTGTGCTAAAATTTGTGGTAGCCAGTAGCCATACTGTAACTGAAATGTGACTGCTGTGACTGAGTTACTCAATTTTTAATTTATTTAATTAAAATCTGCATTTAAGTGAGCAGGTATGGATAGTGGCTACCATATTTATCACTGCATGTCTAGAATCAGGGGTGTGTATGTGTGTGTGTGCATATGAACACACGTACACGTGTATTTCTCCCCTCCCAACAGATAATATTTTTTTAAAAAATGTTTTAGTGTTTATTCTAAAGATAAACAATATACCAATGTAAAATAGTTTTAAGATAGCAGAGATAAAAAAAGTATTATGAAATGAGAATTCTTAAAATCAGCGTTTTGAAACAGTGGATAATAAATTACTAAGACAGACTGAGAAACTGAGGGGAAGTGCGCTGAGCACTTCATATGTACTTACTCAGTTTTCCTGTCTTTTGAGGGAGGAACTGTTATGATTCCCATTTATAGATGAGTATATGGAAGCACAGGGGGATGAAGTATTGTGCCCAGAGCCAGTGAGTGGAAAGGCAGGGTCCTACGCCCTCAGGCATTGTGAGATACTTCTGCAGCCTTCTTCAAGTTTTATTGTTGCTTGTTTATAAATCATAGCAGGCAATGAGACTAGTTAAAAGCCACACATAATGAATTTCACATTACTCTTTAAAGAATTAGAGGATATTAAAATGTTCATCATCAGAGTGATGCTGAGGGTCTTACCCTCTAAGACCAGGTGATTGCTCCGTAGTCCAAAATATGGAACTGAGGGCTTGGCTGTGAGCCTCGATGATGACTGTTGGCAGACCTGTGACAAGCCAGTACCTTTATCTAAGATCATTGCAGACAGGAGATGTAGATGAAGACCTGGATGTAAACAGGAGATCCTAGAAGTACTAAGGGATAAGTTTAACTATATGGCTTGAAGTTTAGTCAGAAAATGGCGAGAGAGAAATTTAAATCCAGCTTTTTCTAAAGATTCCTGTTTGGGAATGTTAAATCTGAGTCATCATTTTTGCAGTAGAGCTACAAAGGAAGTTTCTTACTTCTTATGCCTAAATGAGCCACTGGATTGAGCAGGGTCGTGGTTTACTGATGGTGCCAGGGATGTATGTGAAACTCCCAAATTTTCTTTGGTTTATTATGTATGCCTGCAAGACAGAGCTAAAGAATAAAATTAAAATGATGACATCAAAAAATGTGGCAAATACATGATTAAAAATTATTCATAAAAAGGCATGAAATTTTGTCACATGCTACAGTATGGATGAACCTTGAAACCAATTTGCTAAGTGAAGTAGCCAGATATAAAGGGACAAATATTCTATGACTCCGCTGATATGAAGTACCTAGGACGGACACATTCATAGCAACAGAAAGTAGAATAGTGGTTTCCAGGGGATGTGGGGCGGGGGAGGAATAGGAGTTATTGTTTTAACATTATCTACGGGAGAAATGCTGATATGAAGTACCTAGGACGGACACATTCATAGCAACAGAAAGTAGAATAGTGGTTTCCAGGGGATGTGGGGCGGGGGAGGAATAGGAGTTATTGTTTTAACATTATCTACGGGAGAAATACACATGTGTACATGTGTTCATAGACACACACACACACACAAATACACATGTGTACATGTGTTCATAGACACACACACACACACACACACACACACACACACACACACACACACACACACACACACACACACACACACACACACACACACACACACACACACACACACACACACACACACACACTCCCGAACAGTGAAGATGAAAAGGTTTTGGAGAGTGGGTGGTGCTAATAGTTGCATACTTATAAATGGTTAACCTGGTAAATGGTGTATGTATTTCCCGTAATAAAAATGTTTTCAAAGAAATAATAAGCCAGAGGTGCGACACCCACATTTGAGAGTCTCTGAGGTGAACATACATTATTACATTAGAAGGGATTGCCTCCTTTCTTAGTAAAACTGGATTTTCGTTTCCTGGCTGGGACTGCTGGCGAGTATGGTCGTTATTCCCCTTGACTGTGGTCCAGAGTTCCTCCTGCTTGAGAACGTGGTGCACCACTTCAAGTACCCATGTGTGCTGGACCTGAAGATGGGCACCCGCCAGCACGGCGATGACGCCTCCGCTGAGAAGGCCGCCCGGCAGATGCGGAAGTGCGAGCAGAGTACGTCGGCGACGCTGGGAGTCAGGGTCTGTGGCATGCAGGTGAGTCAGCCTTGGCAAGAGCCCAGGTGCTTGTGTGTTTTGGGTTGTGTGTGTACCTGCTTGCTGTCCGTGCTGGGTGTCCTCCTGGCACAGTGGCCCAGAGTCTCCTCTGGGAGGCTGAGTCCCTGGGGGGGCGGTGGGTGCCTGTTTGAGACATGTTCCCTGAGCCCTCTTGTCCTTACCCGGGGACCCTGGACTGGGCTCTAGTGCAGAACCACTGTGAGAGCCTGTTGCCTTGACTTTGGGGCAACTAAGACTCTTGTCTGTCAGCACGATAGGTATTCTAGTTTGAGTCCAGCTGGTCTCCCGGAGGGCTCCACAGGTAATGGCGGAACACCTGCAGGCCTGGTCTCCACACTCTGCTGCCTTTACCACAGGAAAGCTCAGGGCAAACTTGGCCTGCTCACTCCAGCCGTGCAGGCTGGAGCAGAAAAGTGCAGATTGGTCAGAAGTACTTTCCAGACCGCGCCTGCCCAGGGCCCCGTGAGGTCCTCAGACCTCACTGGTCCTCACCCGCCTGTCTCCTGGGGTTTTAGGTGTACCAGCTGGACACGGGGCATTACCTCTGCAGGAACAAGTACTATGGCCGTGGGCTGTCCATCGAAGGCTTCCGCAACGCCCTCTATCAGTACCTGCACAACGGCCTGGACCTGCGGCGTGACCTTTTTGAGCCCATCCTGAGCAAACTGCGGGGCCTGAAGGCCGTGCTGGAGCGGCAGGCCTCCTACCGCTTCTACTCCAGCTCCCTGCTTGTCATCTACGACGGCAAGGAGTGCCGGTCTGAGTCCTACTTGGACCGCCGGTCCGAAATGCGTCTGAAGCTCCTGGACACCAGCCTCCCGGAGGCGGCCCCGCCCTGTGGCCCTAGCACCAGCCTCAGCAGCAGCAGCCCGGAGGCGGGCCCCTTCTCTCCGCCCAAGGTGGACGTCCGCATGATCGACTTTGCACACAGCACATTCAAGGGCTTCCGAGATGACCCCACAGTGCATGACGGGCCCGACCGAGGCTATGTGTTCGGCCTGGAGAACCTCATCAGCATCATGGAACAGATGCGGGACGAGAACCAGTAGGCCCAGCTCGGGGCCCCCCGGACCCCCTTCCTCTCCACCCGCAGGCAGGGACCATTGCTCTCAACTCGCCGTGAGGACACACAGACTTGCTTTTAAAGGGTTATATTTCTCTTTGGTATAAACTAAAAGAAATGTTTTTAGCTGTAGCCTGGAATCCATATATATAAAGTGACGGAGGGCAGAACACGTCCTCTCAGCCAGGCTGCCTAGCTTGACGGCTCTGACTGCTGTGTCCAGGCAGACTTAGGAAGGAAGAGGTGCCCCTGGTGGGCCTGGCATCAGGGACAGGTTGCCCCTGGACTTTGGTTTCTCTTGCCCAGGTCTTTGGGGTCTGTGACTGCAGGGTCCTGCTAGTTGCAGGGTGAAGCCCAGGGTTGGCGCAGGACCCCTCCATGTTCATTCAGCCCTGGTTCCTCAGTCACAGAGGTTGGGTGCCCATCTCTTGGGGGACTTTGTAACCTGTGCTGTGGGTATCACCCATCTCTTTGACAGGCGTTCCCAGGGCACCACAGGGCCAACTGCACATAGCTGGACCCTTCCTGGTTCTGACCTTGGCATGAGGCTAGATTCATGAAGCTGTGCTGAAGCCAGCTATGGCAGAGGGCAGGCTCTGGGATCCCCAGGCACTGTTTGGCACTTGAACCTGCTCCTGCCTGCACACCCCAGCCAGCCTTTCTCACTAAGACCCCTTGCCTAAGGAGGCCATCCCCTCTTGCCCCACTGGAGGGGGCCCTGCTCTGTGGGCTGAGGAGAGTCAGCCTCCCAGCAGCCTTTGGGGCCTCTGATGGCTCTGACCCAGACAGTATTTGCAGCCCCTGGGCTGTGGGTAGGAATCCACTTCCTCTGGCTTCTTGGGCAGCTTTGCTGCCTCGGAGAGACTGCTCCTTCCAGGGCTCAAAGGCTGTGGTCCGCTCAGGGTCTCACCTCTCCCCAGGCCAAGCTCAAGGCAGCAGCCCACTGTGAGGAGCTCCCAGCTTATGAGGGAGAACTTTAAGCTTGTTTGCTTTTGAGGACATTGGGCACTGGGTGCAAATGCCCAGATTCTGCTAATGAGAGTTTTGTCTTACCAGTACTGGGGTCCATCTGTCTGTCCATTCGTCCATGTGCCAGCCCCTGTGATCTTTTCCCCTGGGGTGTAGCCTTGTTCAGTAGTATTGATTTCCCTCATGCTTCCCTCAGCAGAATGTCCTCTTTCCCATTCCTGAGGTGAGCTTTTGCCCCTGTGCCCTTCCTCAGCAAGTGCTCCCTTTTAAAAGTGGTAGCAAAATGAATCGGAGGAGGTGTTTCCCTGCCGGCCCAGCACCGTCTCTGTGAGCCTGCGGCATGGCCCCCTCGGCACTCAGCGCTGACGGTGCCACAGTGAAGACCGTGGGGGTGACCCCTTCCTTGCCGATGGTTTCAGTGATTTTGCTGCCAGCCCTGAATGGGACAGAGACCTGCCACCTGTGGCCAGGAGCTCACCTAGCTGTTGCTGAGGTTAGTGCCCTGCCTGCTGAGTCCAGGGCCGCTGTCATTGTCACTGCTAGCATGTCCCTGTTACAGCATTCATGCTAAGCCTGCCAGCCTGTGTCTGTGAGAGGCCTCAGTAACTGATGGGCTACTTTCCCACTCCTTAGAGATGCAGCCTCACACAGCTTAAATGGGCTCCGTGATGGGATCCCATCTCTCTCAGCCCTCTGACCCTGGTGCCATTGGTGGGCAGGTTCCCATTCCTGGGGGCCAGGAGGAGCAGCTTGTCTGTTTCTGGTCAGTAAAGAGCACCTTCTCTCATGTAGCTATTCTGTGGCTTCAGCCATGGAGGCAGTAGCTCTTCCTTAGGGTGGCTAGTCATTTCCTGGCAAGGCCAAGGCTAAACCAAAGGGTCTGGGCCCACTTAGGACCCACTTGATGGCACCTCCCCAGTGTAGGGATGTGCCATGCTTCCTGAATTAGTGTGTTGTGGGAGTTGCTGCCCCATTCCACTCTTCATTGTGAGAGAGGTTACACCCACTTACATTCAGTATTTCCTGGCACTAAAAGAGCAGGGCTGGTTTTGCTGCTGCTTTCCCAGGGCAGGGTCCCTTCTTTTCAGCACTTTTGAACACTTGCAAGACACAGCCCTGTTATCTAACGGGTGGCGGGCATGTGTGTCTGCACTTGCTGTTTGCCACTATTTTGCCCTGCTCCATGCCAGAGAGCCCTGTCCCTGCCAGGCCCTGCCTTCCCAGCCCCAACTTGGGACCAAAGTGCAAGACGGGATCACGGGTTGGGGTGTCCAAGTGACTCCTCTCTACAGTGCTTCCGTGGGCCAAGTCGACACCAGCCCCCTAGCCGGGTGGGATGGGCGGTGCTTAAAGAGGAAGGGGACCAGTGTAGCAACTTGCCAGGGACCCCACCCCTCCCTCACATCCGGGCCTGTGCAGTGGGCATGGGGATTCTCCTAAGGGGCCAAAGGCCTGGGCTTGTTCGGTATCCTCTGCTCCCTTGCTCTCATCTGGTCACATGCACACTCCTAGGTGCAGATTGCTTTGAACTTTAAAACTGTTCAATTTGGTTTTGTTTGTACCGATCTAAAAAATGTTTTAATAGGGAAAATTTGGGGGAGAACCGTGGGTAGGGCCTGGTTCCTTTGCTTCTCGGGGAACAACAAGGCCTCGTCTGGAGGACCGCTCTCTGCTCCACTTTCCTGGAAGCTGCCTAAGCCTGTCCACGCCACCCAAGCCCTGCGCCCGGATATGACACGTGGCTCCGGTCGCTTCTGGGCGCGGCTGCGTTTTCTCGGGACCTTGCGTGCAAGGGAGGGAGTGCTCAGGCCTTGCGCCGAGCTCGCCCTTTCTGTACACCTAGCGCTGCCCGCCCCGCTTGTGTCTGAGGTCGTGTATGTCAAAATAAAGCCTCTAGAAACTGACGCGTGTCCGTGTCTTGGAGAAAACCTGCAGACTCTGGCCTGATCAGGCCCACCCGCGCCCCCGGCCCTGCCCCTTTTCTCCGGTCCGGCGGGGTGGTGCTGGAATCTGCCGGGGCGCGGCGCAAAGGAAGCCTCGCCCTTGGCGCCAGCTCCGCTTTTGGATCCGCCAATGGCCAGCTGACCCGCAGGTCCCCGATCCCGGTTCCCATGGCAGCCGGCGCGCTCGGCTCTCGTTGGCTGCGTCTGTCGGAGCCTCGCGTCCCGGCGCTCCTACGTTGACGGCGTGCCACGTATACCATAGCTGATTGGTCTGCCGCGCTTACGTCACTTCCCGCCCGCCGCCAGCCCGAGGTAGGAGCCCGAAGCTGTCCGTACGGCGTAGCGTCCCCGTTTGCTGTGGCCGCGGAGCTAACGTTAGCGCGGATTGGGCAGACAGGGTCACAGTTGGTCAGTCTGGCTGGTGAAGGGCACGGCGGCGGGAGTGTGCGGCAGGGTTCCGCTAGGCGGGCCGTGGACACCTCGGAGTCTCGGACTCACTCTCCGGCCGCCCACAGGTGCAATGAAGGCACTGATTTTGGTGGGCGGTTATGGGACGCGTCTGCGGCCGCTGACGCTAAGCATCCCGAAGCCGCTGGTGGACTTCTGCAATAAGCCTATCTTGCTGCATCAAGTGGAAGCCCTGGCCGCGGTAAGGCTCGGGTCGGGGTCTTGGTAGGTCGTGGGACTGGCCAGGCATTGGAGATTGGGGACGTCCGTGCCTTCGGCTGAGCCCGCCTGACGCCCGGCGCTGTTCTGTCCCCCAGGCCGGCGTGGACCACGTGATTCTGGCCGTGAGTTATATGTCTCAGGTGTTGGAGAAGGAAATGAAAGCGCAGGAGCAGAAGGTGAGGCGCTGACTTTTGGCCCTTTCCCCTGGTCCCTCCTCTTCACTCTGAGAGGAAATTGACAGGGGCGCTTCTCCCTTCCAGCTAGGAATCCGAATCTCCATGTCCCACGAAGAGGAGCCTCTGGGGACAGGTCAGGAGAGACAGGAGGATCCCTTGGAGAGGGTTTAGGGCCAGGAAAGGGCAAGATTAAGCTTGGATGGGGATTGCTGAGCGTGGTTCCAGGGGCTCAGACCCTCAAGATGATGGTGGCGTCTTCGTTTCCCCCAGCTGGGCCCCTGGCCCTGGCCCGAGACTTGCTCTGTGAGACTGCAGACCCTTTTTTCGTCCTGAACAGTGACGTGATCTGTGATTTCCCCTTCGAAGCCATGGTGCAGTTCCACCGGCACCACGGTCAGGAGGGTTCCATTCTGGTAAGACAGCACATTTTCTTCCTCTGATACTCACATCCCCTCACGCCCAGTGTCTCCCCCTCTGCAGCCTGGAACTGCCCGGTGGTGGTGTGGGTGCAGAGCTGTGCAGCTTGTGCCTTTAAGCACTGGGGACAAAGCATGGGAAATTTAGGACAGCATGTCCATCAAGACTCAGGAGTACTGGACTAGGCCTGACATCTCCCTGCACTCAGGTGACCAAAGTGGAGGAACCCTCTAAGTACGGTGTGGTGGTGTGTGAGGCAGACACAGGCCGCATTCACCGGTTCGTGGAGAAGCCGCAGGTGTTTGTGTCCAACAAGATCAACGCAGGCATGTACATCCTGAGCCCTTCAGTGCTACGGCGCATCCAGGTGTGTAGAAGCCAGCTGCTGGGTGGGCTGGGGTGGGACAGGCCACCATTGCCATGACCCTGCTCACAAGCTGCCCACTCTCACAGCTGCGGCCCACATCCATTGAGAAGGAGATCTTCCCTGTCATGGCCAAGGAAGGGCAACTCTATGCCATGGAGTTGCAGGGTGAGGCAGGGAGGCCACAGGGTGGGGGTGGTCTGTGGCTGGGCTGAGCCCCCTGATGCATTCTCTCCCTGCAGGCTTCTGGATGGACATCGGGCAGCCCAAGGATTTCCTCACTGGCATGTGCCTCTTCCTACAGTCACTGCGACAGAAGCATCCTGAGCAGCTGTGCTCAGGCCCTGGCATTGTGGGCAACGTGCTGGTGGTGAGGCCCTTGCCCAGCCCATAATCGATTGCCTCCATCTTGGAGGACAGGTGGCCCACTTGGGTTTTCCCCGCTGTTCTCAGGACCCAAGTGCCCGTATCGGTGAGAACTGCAGCATTGGCCCCAACGTGAGTCTGGGTCCCGGTGTGGTGGTGGAGGATGGTGTGTGCATTCGGCGGTGCACCGTGCTGCGAGACGCCCATATCCGCTCCCACTCCTGGCTGGAGTCCTGTATCGTGGGCTGGCGCTGCCGTGTGGGCCAGTGGGTAAGCCTCTGGGCTGGGCTCGGTGGGGAAGGTGGGGACGGCCTCTGCCTCACTGCCGTGCCTACCTCCTCCCCGCAGGTGCGCATGGAGAACGTGACCGTGTTGGGTGAGGATGTCATAGTGAACGACGAGCTCTACCTCAACGGGGCCAGCGTGCTGCCCCACAAGTCTATTGGTGAGTCGGTGCCGGAGCCCCGCATCATCATGTGAGGGGTGCTGCGGGGCCAGTCGAGCCCCAGTTTCCCCTGACAAGGGGAACACTGGCTCGACACGTCTGAAGGCCTGGACTCATTGCCATTTGACTGGGGAGGACTGGACGAGGCTGAAGTTGCCAGACACCTGCCTTCTCCCATGGACATAATCTGGCAAGATCCTTGTTGGGCATACCCCACAAAGCCCACTCCCTTAAGAACAACGGGGCCGGGACTGTATGGAATAATAATTTAATGCTCACTGCGGCCCTGACTGAAAATCAAGCTGAGGCACAAATAGGGCATGGCTGGACCCCTGCTGATGAGGTTCACACGGGCGAGGAGGTGGGATGGAGTGGGGAGAGGGGGACAGGGCAAGGGGCTCATAAATAGGGCCCAGCCTGGATTTGAGTTGAGGGGTGGAGGTTCCTGCTGTGTGGGCCAGGCAGGCCTAAGCAGCCGAGGAAGTGGCACTTGCATTGGCTGCCTTGTCCCAGTCCTCCACTGACACGATGGTGGCTTTGCAGAAGAAGCAGTCCTTGTTGTTCATCAGGTGCTGGTCGATGCAGGCTCTGCAACAGGGGAGGGCATGCCGGTAGCCAGTGTATCCCTCCCTGCCCCCATCCTGCCCACTGTGCCCAAGGGGCCCACGTACTTGCAGGACTTGTGGCCACAGGGCTGGAACACAGCAGAGATGGGGTGAGCGTAGCAGATGGGGCAGAGGTCTTCCTCACTGGTGGGCTGCAGGGAGCAGAGTGCAGGGTGGGCTGGGTCAGACGCCCAGACAAGTGGGTATGCACTACACACACGGTTGTGCTGATGTGTAGTGAATTGGCGTGGCCCCGGGTGCTGTGGCCCCACTCACCAGGGAGGCAGCTGCCGCCTGCGCAGATGCAGAGGTTAGGTGTGCCAGCATCTGTTCCACCTGGGCCAGCTCCTCCACGCTGATGTAATCTGTATCTGCAGTGGGGGTGGGGTGGGAGGAGGGTCAGGCCAAATGCGGCCTCAGACCCCGGTGCCTCTTGAGTATTCCCAGCTTGGGAATTTGCTCTTAAGGCGACTGACCCGACCCAGCCCCAAATCCCTGTCTTCCCTGACCCACCCCTGGCCCACTTACAGCTCTGCAGGGAGAAGTGCTTCCGGTCAGGGGCAGGCAGGGCAGTGCCAGGGGCAGGGGGCTCCAGCTGCCCCAGCAGGTAGGATATGGAGCGGAGCTGGAAGCAGGGATCAGCCAGGAGCACTGACGTGGCTCTCTCTGTCCTAGGTAGGAGAGGGTACAAGGGAAGTCAGGAGCCTGGGCCTGGAATCCCTGTTATTGGAGGGATGGGGTCCTGTGAAAGTCCAACCAACTCCCATTACCGCCTTGTTCGTCCCACCCTATCCCCCTGCTGCTCTCTGATCCTCCTAATAAAGTCCTAGATCCCAGGAATGACCCGCCCTGAGCAGGTCAAAGGGGGCACCACCATGAGATGGTGAAAGTCCACTTGCTCTCTCTCACACATTAACCCTACAAAAGAGACACCTGCCCCTCGTACACAATAATCCTTCTAGGAAAACACCATCTTCCTAATACACGTTTATCTTCAAAAAAAAAAACAAGCAGCTGGAAGGCGTACCTCCCAGGCTTCCTCTTCTCTTCTGGGAGACAGGTCCTCTGGAAAGCCGCCGGCCAAACTCGCGCCCCCTGGCGGCCACGCGAGGACTACGGGGCGGGGGGGCGGGACGTGGCGGCCCCGCCCCTCCAGCGGGAGCCAATGGGAGCCGGCGGCCCCGCCCCCTGAGAAATCGCCTCCCGGGGAGTATTTAGAAGCTTGAGCGCGCTCTGGAAGGCACTCAGGAGGGAGCTGGGGAAGCCCAAGAAGGGCGTGGCGAGCGAGCGAGCGAGGCCAACTCGCAGCTCCAAACCTGGAACCGGTCGGCCTTGCGAAACGGAGCCTGCATCCAGGCTCGCTGAGCGTCTCCCGGCACTTCTCACCAGAGAAGCGGGTGAGTCTCGCATCTGCCGCCCACTGAGCTGCCCTGTCCTGGCCCCGGCAGCCTCCCATATGGCCCGGCTGGTGCTGCAGAGCACACTACTGTGCCTGCTGCGCATCGGGTTAGGCACCCAGGACTCGGACAGCTTCCTGCCCCACGCGCCTCACAACTGCCCCCACAAATGCGTCTGTGCTGCCGACCTGCTGGATTGCGCCGGCCTGGGGCTGCGGGAGGTGCCGGTCACGTTACCGGCCGCGGCTGCAGACCTCGACCTGAGCCACAACGCGCTCCAGCGCCTGCCCCCCGGCTGGCTGGCGCCCCTCTCCCGGCTCCACACCCTGCATTTAAATCACAATGAGCTGGAGGCGCTGGGTCGGGGAGTTTTCACCAACGCCAGTGGCCTGCGGGTGCTTGATCTATCATCTAACGCCCTGCGGGCACTTGGCCGCCACGACCTCGACGGGCTGGGAGCGCTAGAGACGCTGCTTCTGTTCAATAACCACCTGGCGCACTTGGACGAACGTGCCTTCCACCGCTTGGGCACACTCCGTCGTCTCTACCTGGGCCGCAACGAACTCTCGTTCTTCTCTTTCAACCACCTGCACGGGCTGGGCTCAGCCCACCTGCGTGTTCTGGATCTCTCCTCCAACCGCATAGGACGCACCCCTGTGCCTGACCTGGCAGCGCTGCCTGCCTTTCTCAAGAATGGCCTTTACCTGCACAATAACCCGTTACCCTGTGACTGCCGTCTCTACCACCTGCTGCAACGCTGGCACCAGCGGGGGCTCAGTGCCGTGAGCGACTTTGCCCGCGAGTACACCTGCCTGGCCTTCAAGGTACCCACCTCCCGCGTGCGCTTCTTTGCGCACAACCGTGTCTTCGAGAACTGCTCGGTGGCCCTGGCAAAGGACCTGGAGCGGCCAGAAGAGCAGCTGCACGTACAGGTGGGGCGGTCCCTGCGGCTACACTGCAACACCAGCGCCCCAGCCCTGCACGTGGCCTGGGTTTCCCCGCAGCACGAGCTGCTCGTGGCACCAGGATCTCGCAATGGCAGCATCACAGTGCTGGCCGACGGTAGCCTGGCCATCAGCAGCGTGCAGCCGTGGCATGAGGGTGTCTTTGTGTGCCTTGCCACTGGGCCCCGCCTGCATCACAACCAGACGCACGAGTACAATGTGAGCGTGTCCTTTCCCCACCCAGAGCCCGACGCTTTCAACACCGGCTTCACCACGCTGCTGGGCTGTGCCGTGGGCCTGATGCTCGTGCTCCTCTACCTGTTTGCGCCACCCTGCCCCGGCTGCCGCCGCTGCTACCACCGCACCTGCCGCTGCTGCCACCGCTGCCGCCGCTGGCCCCGGACACCCAGCCCGCTCCAGGAGCTGAGTGCACAGTCCTCGGTGCTCAGCAACACACCACCCGATGCACCCACCCGCAAAGCCAGCGTCCACAAGCACGTGGTCTTTCTGGAGCCTGGCAGGAGGGGCCTCAATGGTCGTGTGCAGCTAGCGGTAGCTGAGGACTTCGACCTCTACAATCCCTCGGGCCTGCGGCTCAAGGCTGGCTCCGAGTCCACTAGCTCCACAGCCTCTGAAGGTCTGGTGATGACCTAGGCTGCCCATGGCCCCCACCGAGGCCGCTGCCCGCCTGCTGCTTGTCCTCCTCTCAGCTGCTGCCCGAACAACTGCCAGCTGCTGGTGGGAAGCCCTGGGCTTGGTCCTCCAGCCTCCCACAGCAACCCCACTCACTGGTAGAGAAGTTCTTACCTCTCTCCTGCTTCTCCCCAGCACCGGGACCTAGCAGGGCCTACATGTGCCCAGAATGAGTGGCTGGGCCGAGGTGGCCAGCCATTATGGAGAGTGCTGGTGAGGCAGGGAACCATGACCACTTCCCACTCCCCAAGGAGACGGGAAGGGAGTGGCCCGCAGGGGAAGCAGAGGACTTCAAATGAAGACCAGGCCCCACCCGCAGGGTGCAGAGGAAATTCCAAGCCCTTCCTCTGGTGAAATGTGACTGCCTGTGCACCTACATTCAGCCTACTTCAAGCTTCACAAGTCCATGCAGTCTGGTGAGCAGGCAAGAAGCAAGCAAGCTCAAGGGACCCCCTGGGGCATCACAGGCCACTGAGGGCAGGGCCTCTCCCATGGACTCGCAAGACAGCAGTAAGGGGCGCCATGGCCCGTGTCCCCAGCTTGTCTGCAGTAAAAAGCCTGCCGAGCCTGGCTGAGACCAGAGAGCCCAGCTGGAGCTCACTGTCCTCCGAGAGTAGAATCCTCTTAAGGGCTGGCACTGGTCTCAGCCCTAATGGCTGAAGCAGTGCCCTGGCTTCACATACATCTCATCGCTCCCACTGCGGGAAGGCCAGAGAGGGGGGCTGGGCCAGGGGGCCCACAAGTATCCTGGATCCAGCTGTCATGGGATTTCTCAATAAAGGCAGTTTGTGCTCATTGCTGGAGGCTTCACAGACCCAGGTGTGTGGGCTCAGCTCTGAAGCCCAGTAGGGCTGTCCTGGCATGGCAGGCTGGCACCCCGACCCCTACCACTGAATCTGGGTGCCCCTGCCCCGACCTGAGGCACAGCCACAGCCAGCAGCCCTGCCCGAGGCCAGGGTACCCTGCGCTGCTGAAGTCCTGGGTGCTACTCCAAGCTGCTACCACCGCCACCTAGTTACTCATTACTCAGTTCACACCTCTTCTAGCTTCCTTCTGTCTCCAGGCCTGACTGAGGCCCAGGTGAGGATGAGCCTCGGGAAGGCCCCACCCAGCCCCCAGAGGGGAGCACAGTCCCCAGCACTCACCCTGAGGCTGGGCCATGCACCAGGAGTCGCACCAGGATGCCGGTCACTGCCACCAGAATGGGGTAGTGGTCCACACTCTCCAGGCCTGCGGGGAAGGGAGGAAGGGGGTGAGCCTCGAAAGCGCTCCTGCTACAGGGGCTCCAGCACTTCCCTCCATCCTCCCCACAGACAGCTGAGCTAGGCTGGGGGTGCCAGGCCCCAGAGGTCCGGTGCAGGCTGTCATCAGGTCAAGCAGCACTGCTCAGGCAGAGGAACCGAGGCCTGCAGTATGCTGGGTCCTGGGCTTCTCGGTCCTCACCAGGCAGCCGCAGGGTAACCACACGGTCAAAGAGGTTCCTCTCGGCTGTCACCCGGTTCAGCACCTGATTCAGCAGCTGTGGGGCAGGAACCCATTGGTGGGTGGGCTCACCACTAGGGTGTCCCCAGGGTCCTGACCCCTTGCCCGGATAGACCCACCTGTGCGAGCCGCCGCAGCAGCATCTCAGAGGTCGGCCGGGCCCAGTCAAGGAAGATCTCCGGCACCAGTGTGATGGTCATCTCCAGGACGCGCAGCAGGCTGACTGACAGGTCAAAGCAGGTGGCGCATACCTTGAGCTGCCGGCTGTCCACGAAGTTCCGCTCCAGGCGCTCTGCAGCCTGATGGATCTAAGCCCCGCCGGGTAGGTGGGCAGCCGTCAGGGGTCTGCCCACACTGCATGTCGTGCCTCGTCCTCTGCCACCCCCGGCCCGCAAGGTGCCCCCATGACCCACCTCCTGGATCATGCCAATGAACTCGGAGAAGGCCCAGTTGAGTTGGTTGAGGACACTGTTGAGGAAGCTGGGGGCCACGTCCGAACCCTCCCGCAGCAGGTCTGCCATGTGCTGCTGCAGCAGGGTGGAGGGGCAGGGCTCTGCGGGCACAGGGCGGGGGGGAGCGTGGCTGGGCATCATTGCACCCCAGTCAGCGGTCCCGCCTGCCCGCCTCTGTCCTCCCTTAGGGGGCTGCTGGTTAAGGGCAGAGAGACGGCTCTCTGGGAACCTCAGGTCTCAAAGGCAGGGGCACAGTGCTGCTAGGGGTTAGGGCTAAACCTGTCCCCTCCCTCTGCTGGGCCAACCACAGGCTGCCGTGTTCCCAACCCCCATCCCACCCCAAGTTCTAGAACAGCCCCCAAGCGCCAGCAAGTCCCCAGTCACATGCCCTTCAGGGTGTGCTAGACAGGGCAGCCCAGAGCGCTCTCCGCTCGTGTCAAGGCCATCCTCCCCAAGAGCCAGCTTTGAGCCTTGCCATCCTCCAGTCCTCTGCTGCCCTTGGTGTGGCCTTGGCATAAGGCTGAGGTGGTGGGCGCCAAGTCTGGGCTGACAGGCAGCAGTAACCAGAGCCCTCAGCCGCATCCAGGCTGGCCAGCCCTCCCCCGTGCAAATCAATAGTTCCTGCAGCAGCAGGATGCAGATTTGCCCCCCTGCTCTCCACGGGCAGCTCAGGTCCACCCTAGAGCCAGGACCAAGGCAACTGGCAAGGACTTGCCATGAAACTGCACAAGGCCCTTGGCCTCTGGGGACCCCATTAGGCCCAAACACTGCCTACAAGGGCAGAAACATACCCCACGGGCTAAAGCGGGCCACTGTGTGTGGCAAGCACAGTGTGGGGGAGGCAGGCTGTGCAGCCAGACAGCCCAAGGCCCTGGGCTGGGCCCAATGGGGGTCCTCGGGCTCACAGGACCAAGAACGCAGACTGTGCTCCCAACAAATGGCCCCTTCCTCCAGGTAGCCCCATGGACACCCTCTGGGGCCCTAGCCAACCCCCAGTCTGTGCCCCTGCCTTGACTCAGATATCCAAGATCCGGCATCACCAGGTGGAAGTAAAGGGGCAGAGGACATGGAGCTGGGTCAGAGGACAAGGGATAGGGCATGCTTGGTTTGTGAGCTGCCAGCAGCCTGGGAAGACGCTGCCCCTTTCACTGTGACCCGAGGGCACACGTGGGACTGCAGAGAGTCCCAGAGTGTCCTTGGACTGGAGGAAGGAGAGAACGGAAACCCTGGGGGGTGGACAGGGAGTTCGGGGCCCACCGCAAGTCCAGGACTGGGGCTGGGAGAAGTGGGGAAGTCTGTGAGAACCTCAGAGCAGCGGGTGAGGGCCCCCTGCCTGCTAGACCTAGGTACTCACTCTGGAGGCTGGGCAGATTGGCATCCTCAGGTTTGGTTTTTAGTAGGTGTGGCAGCCGCGTATAGCGGTACCCAAACCCACAGCCCTGGGGGTAGAGTCGGCAGGAGGTCAGTGGGGCAGGGAAACCCCACCAGCCACAGCCACTTCCCCTCCAGCCAGCCTTACCCGCCAGAGCCGAACCAGGATCCAGTTGGTCTGGGCCCAGGGCCGCTGCTCGTAGGGAGCCAGGAGGTTCTTCACCATGGCGATGCGCCTGCGAGAGCAACAGGCGGTGGGCCCAGGGTGAGGCTCGTGCTTTGCAGGGCAGCGTGCCTGCCCCCTGCCCCCGGACCCCCACTCACTGCTCCTCAGGGATCCGCTCCACGGCCCGCAGGGAGTTGGGGTAGCACACGTAGCTGGCCAGAGCCTGCATCAGTGAGTCCCGGATGTCTGCCAGGACAGGCCACACCTCAGCAGGTGCCTGGCATGATCCTGGTGCCCATGCCTTACCCCCACCTGGGTGGCAATCTCTGCAGAAAATGGCCAGCCTGGGGTGCCACCCCGTCCGCATCCCCCCAAGCCCTCTGTCCAGTGCCTCACCAGTGCCCACGATGCGTGTGTCTGCGAAGTGTTTGGCAAGGATGGCGGCCAGACGGGTCAGGGTCTCCTCATAGCCTGCAGGGTAGGGTGATAGGATGAGCTGGTGGGGACTGTGGACACCAGAGGCAGGCACATCTCTTTGTAGGTGGGCTTGGGGAGCAGGCTCCAGAGCCAGCTCCAAGGGCCAATCTGGGCCCAAGCTGCCATCTGGGGACTTTAGGCTGTGCATTCACTAATGGTTGGCCAGAGACTAAGGCACAGACTCAGGGTGGGGGCTGGGTAGGCCCCGAGGCTGAGGGCAGGGCAGGGGACGGGCCAGGAACCTAAAAGCCCACAGCCTAATCCAGAAGTGAACTGCTAAGGCCATCCCGGAATCCGGGGTCTGCAAGAAGCCCCTGTTCCTTGTGGCCACCAGCAGGTCCCCTGCTCCTTGCTGTGATCTGCCAAGACAAGCCCACCCTGCCCCTGCGTGGGATGCCACACTCCATGGTCAGTGCCAGGGCAGAGGGTGAGAGGCCAGCTGGCTCCTGGGCCACAGCAGCACCCAGAAGGAGGTGACAGTCCTGGCAGGGTGGGGCGGGGCTCCTCACACCCTGTGCTCCATCGGCTCTCTTTGCTCCTCACGCCAGGGAGCAGCTGTCTGTGGCTGCTGGTCCTAGGACAGGGCTCTCCACCAAGCGGGACTTGTGCAAACGCTTGTCTGATGCTGTCTGAGCCCAGGTGGGACATGTGTTTCTGGGCCACAAGAGCTCAGAACAGGGCTCCCGGGGCTCACTCCGCGAAGGCCCCCTTTTCTGCCCCCTCCCAGCCTGAAAGGCCCAATCACCTGGGAGCTCCTCCATGCTGTGCACGGGGCCAAAGTAATTCTTGAGGGCGCTATAGCTGTTGATGGCCACGCTCAGGTAGAACTCGGGCATGAAGGCAAAGAGAGAACCCGTGCGGTCGCCGTGCTCAATGGTCCGCAGGCAGACTCGAAGCAGCCAGTAAATGTCCTGCATCTTCTCCTGCAGAGGGAGGTGGGGCGGACAGGTACTGCCAGGCTGCTTTTGGGGGGGGGGTGTCATGGGGTGCAGCCCAGTCGGGGGATGAGGAAA